GGGGGCGGCGGGGGCGGGGCGCCGGAAAGTCACCAGAGGGGAGCCACGCTGCGGAGAACGAGGAAGTGATGAGTTTATGGAGGTTAAAGGGACGCGAGCAGAAATTGAGATTTCGACGTGGGGTCTTGGGCGGTAACTGCGTCGGGAAGCGCACAAAGAATAATCATCAAATTCGAGGATACCTAACAGAGATTATCGGAAACGAATTGGGTGTGCGACAATTTATGAAATCAAAACATACCGCTAATTATCTACATTGCTATACGGTTTATAACAATTTTCTCAATATTGTTTTTCGTTTGAAAAATTGGAAATTGATAAACACAAAGGGGGCGACGAGAAAGATTTTGTCTAATGTAGTATATTAGATAACATCGAGTCGTTTAATAGGTCTGAAAAGCAGTAGAAAATCAGACGGAGTTGGTTTCTCAGAATATCAATATTACTTTATCTCACTCACTTCAGTAAAAAACTTCTTGTAGCCAGAAATCAATCGCAGTTTCAAAAACTTAAAAGAAATTTGAGAACTAACAGAGAACTCTAGTTCTTGAATGTTTGCCTCAGTTGTTTTATTATATAGATAATTCGTCCTTTGAACAGAATTTTACGAGCTTAGGCCTACCAACACTATCCAGGTCTTGCGCCATTGGTTAACGAGTACGGGTTAGCACATAGTCATCCCTACGCTGTATTCTGGTTTTCCCAACGTGACAAATGACCCTTCTCATCGTCACACAGCAGCAGATACTGGGGCATCGCAATAAAAGTGCACAATTAATATTTGCGCTGACTGGGAATCGAACCCAGGATTGCGCCATGGAAAGCGAACACGCTTATTCACGAAACACCATAGGCACATAAAGTTCTACCTACAATATACGATATTATTACAATGTGTGTGTTCGATTTCAACCATAGTTCACTTGAACAATACACAGTACAGTCATTGACATGAGCACATGTTTGGCGAATAAATTAATATGGTGATATAATAAATATACTCCCCAACAAAACACAGAATATTAGTAAAACTATGCCTATCAACTGACATTCAAGTCAATATAATTAAGATTCTTAAAAACTTCTTTTGAGTTTAAAGTTTAATATTAAATATAAGTATTTAAGATTACGCTACTAAAAATATTCATATTTTTAGCCCTTCAACCGTCTCATTTTTATCCTAAATGTCATGCAGGTCTTAAGGCTGTTCTTGACTAAATTAATTAATGGAATACTCAAATAGTTACGCTAACACAGCACGTACTTTTTCGCCTGCACGTTCATACAAAATTATATGAAAAGTTTTCAAATTTTCGAAAAATTAGTCAATGCCTTATTTCAAAATCTATCCATTTCATTAAGGGGGAAAATCTCTATCTTCTTAATTGTAGGAAGGCGCCGGATAAAATTTGAATTTTGTAAGTTTCGAAAAATATCAGATTTTTTAAAGAACATGAGACCTGCACTATTCTCTTAAACGTCTTTATTTACACTACCAACAACAAAATTTAAACAAAATCAGTGAGATCATTTTTTTTAAATTCAGAAAATTCCCGTGGTTTCTTGTACAATACCCTCCTAAAATAAAATATCGATTGCACATTGAAGGATACGTGACATCAGCCTGATTTTTTCGGGAATATTTTGGAGTAAATCGGCTGAAGCGTTGTTGACAGACCGACAGACGATGCGACGTCAAGCGTTTTTCGGTATCAAGAACGCACAAAACAAGGATTCTGGCTACACCACGCGTTTGAGGATTTTTTATTCTCAATGTATCGACTGTATTTATCTAGTTTTCGTTTCCAGGCCCCGACAATTCGAGTTTTTCTGACAAAACTTGGCCTTTTTTTCGCGCAGTAATAGATAATTTTTCTTTTACATATTTCTTTCTACTCCGT